CTTGGACACTTCCAGGGATGGGGCAGCCACAGCTGCTCTGGGAAACCTGTGCCAGGGCCTCACTGTGGTGGGTTGACCCTGCCTGGATTCCAGGTGCCCACCAAAGCCACTCCATCACTGCCCTCCACAAGTGGACAGGGGAGAGAAAATCTAACAAAGGTTCCTGACTTGAGGCAGGGACAAGGAGAGAACCCTCACTGATCACCAACGTGGGCAAAACAGACTCAACCTGGGGATATTAATTGAATATATTACTAACAAAATCAGAGCAGGACAGTGAAAAGGCAAATAAATCTTAAATACACCTTTTCCCACTCCTCCCTCTCCTGGACTCTCCCTCCTCCTCCCAGTGGTGCAGGGAGATGGGAATGGGGGTCCTGGTCAGTTTATCACAGATTGTTTCTGCTGCTGCTCAGGGAGAGGAGTTGGAGTCCTTCCCCTGCTCCAGCCTGGGATTCCTCCCACGGGAGACAGTTCTCCATGAACTTCAACATGGGGCCCTTTCCATGGGCTCAGTCCTTCAGGAACAGGCTGCTCCAGCCTGGGCTCCTCTCTCCGTGGGGCTGCAGCTCCGTGCCAGGACTCTGCTCCAGCAGGGGCTTCCCAGGGGTCACCTCCTCCTTTGGGCATCCCCTGCTCTGGAATGGGCTCCTCCACGTGCTGCAGGGGGGTCTCTGCACCCCCATGGCCCCCCATGTGCTGCAGGGGGGTCTCTGCACCCCCATGGCCCCCCATGTGCTGCAGGGGCACAGCTCCCTCCCCATGGGCTGCCCCAGGGGAACCTGAGCTCCAGTGCCTGGAGCCCCTCCTGCCCCTCCTCCTGCCCTGCCCTGGGGCTCTGCAGGGCTGTTCCTCTCCCATGTTCTCACTCTGCTCTCTGCACCCAATTCCATCTGCTCAATAACATTTTTCCCATCTTAAATACATTATCCCAGGGGTGTTCCCACCATCTCTGCTGGGCTGGGCCTTGGCCAGCAGCAGGTCCATCCTGGAGCAGCTGGAATTGGCTCTGCCAGGCAGGGGAGAAGCTTCTGGCAGCTGCTGACAGGAGCCACCAAACCCTGGCCATGCAAACCCAATGCACTCACCACTTCCACAGAGTGAAGGATTCCTTCCCAGTCTCCCATCTCACCCTGCCCTCTGGCACTGGGAAGCCATTCCCTGTGTCCTGTCCCTCCATCCCTTGTCTCAAGTCCCTCTCCAGCTCTCCTGGAGTCTCTTCAGGCTCTGCAAGGGGCTCTCAGCTCTCCCTGGAGCCTTCTCTTCTCCACGTGAACCCCCCCAGCTCTCCCAGCCTGGCTCCAGAGCAGAGGGGCTCCAGCCCTTGGAGCATCCCTGTGGCCTCTCTGGACTCGCTCCAACAGGTCAGCATTTTTCTTGTGCTGAGGCCCTTCAGCCTCCCAGGGCTCTCCCTTCTCCAGCCTTGCAGCTGGAAGAGCAGCCCTGCCCTTCCTCGGGGAGCATCTGGGAAGAGGAGGAGGAGGAGGAGGAGGAGGAGGAGAAGGAGGAGGAGGAGGGGAGCCCCGAGCGAGCCGTTTGCAGAGGAGCAGAGGAGCCAGTTGGGCACTCGGCTGTGCCCGGAGGAGCTGAGCTGTTTATCCCTGTGGATCCTGCAGCAGCCTTTGTGATGCACAGGGACAGTGTCAGGG